GCAAGATCTGCAAGGCCTTTAAGCCCAGAACTAAGAAAGAAAGAGACTTTCGCCTTAAGCAGCTGCTCATGGAGACGGCATTACAGCCCTCCACTTCGGCAGCACCGTCTGTCTCCGTGCGGAGCGCCCCGGCATCGGTGCGGGAACCGGCGCCGGCGGGTCACCCGAAGCCCACGGCACCGACCCAACGGGGACATGTACGACGCCAGTCGTCTTCGCCGGCAAAAGCGAAGGGCCAACCTAAGGCCCGAGGACGCTCCCCGCACAAGAGGGTGGCACCGGTGAAGACCTCGAGTGCCCCTAAGGCCTGTACGGCCCCAGCACAGACCCCGGTAGTGGCTCCGGCGCCGAAAGGCCCATCGAGCCCCGGGATGGGCGCGTCGAGTGAGGATGAAGGGCTGGAGGAGCTCTTGGAACAGCCCTCCACTCCGGACATGTTTGAGGCAGCTAAGGACCTCATTGCATTGTCCGTCGAGGCCCCTACACGCGCTGAGGACGCTCCGCCGAAGCTGCCGCACAGAGGCAAGCCGGCGATGGTGCGCCCATCATGGTCGCCGTCTCGGCACTGTTCCGGGAACCGGTCCCGGTCGAGCTCCGCCTCGGTGGACTCCCGGTTGCCCTCGGCGCAAGAAGCACCGCAGCAGTCGGGCTTCAACAAGCGGTCGGCACCGACTCAGCAACCCAGCACGAGTCGGCACCGCGAAGTGTCGGCGGTACGTTACCCGATGCCGACCAGCCGTAGTCGTTCCCGGTCCTGCGATCACCGGTACCGTTCCAGGTCCAGGTCGGCGAGACGCTATTCCAGGTCCTGGTCGCGGAGGCGCTACTCCCCAAACCCGGACCGGCACCATCCTGCGGCTCCGCCGTGGCCTTCCAGGTCACCGTCCGTGGTCTCGGGGACTGACTCGGACCGGTATGCCCATAGGTCGCAGGCCAGCAGGGACTACGGCCATTCCCAGTGGGGCCAACCGAGCCAATGGCCATTCTGGACACCCTGGGCCTACCACCAGCAAGGGCCCCCATCGAGGGCCTCGAGATCCGGGCCATCGGGGTACCGATCCCGCTCCCCGCGGCACCGCCCGCCATCGCATAAGGAGGCAACGGTCTCTAGACCACCGGAGCGGGAAGGAGTGGACTCGGCACAGAGTACAGTACCGTCCCAGTCCCACACTGCGGGTCGGGCCCCAGAGGAGCAACTGGTCGATGCCGGGTTGCAGGACAATGAGGATGGGCAGAAGGCCCCGACCTCTTCCTCCTCGCCAGACGAGGCAGTAGCGGGCACGATGGTGTCCGGCCCTCCCCCGATTGACCATCGGGCGCACCAAGACCTGCTTCGCTGAGTAGCCCTCAATCTGGGCTTGCAAGTGGAGGAGACCGTAGAACAGGAAGACCCCATGGTCGATATCCTGAGCCCGGAGGGCCCCTCCAGAGTCGCTCTCCCGATTATACGGACAGTACAGTCCAACTATAAGACGGTGTGGCAAACGCCGGCCTCCAGTGCACCGACTGCAAGAGGCGTGGAGAGGAAATACTTCGCCCCATCTAGAGGGTTTGAATTCCTCTTTTTACACCCATCCCCTTGTTCGCTGGTGGTCTCGGTGGTCAACGAGAGAGAGCGTCATGGCCAGCAAGCTCCTGCCCCCAAGGGCAAGGAAGCTAAGCGATTGGACTTGTTCGGGAGGAAAGTCTATTCATCTGGGGGCCTTCAACTGAGGATCGCCAATCAGCAGGCGATTCTAAACAGGCACAATTTTAACTCTTGGGCATCAGTCGCCAAGTTTAAGGACTCCCTCCCACCTGACGCGCATCAGGAGTTCACGGCCCTGGTGGACGAGGGGATGGCGGTGGCCAAGACCTCATTGCAGGCCTCCCTCAACTCAGCCGACGCTGCGGCTAGAACAATTGCGTCAGGAGTCGTGATGAGGTGTTCGGCGTGGTTACAGGCTTCAGGTCTTCCGCCAGAGGTGCAGACCACACTGCAGGACCTCCCGTTTGAAGGTTCGGGCTTGTTTTCCGACCAAACGGACGCCAGGCTACATAGCCTTAAGGACTCGCGAGCAACCCTTAAGTCGTTGGGTATGCACACCCCGGTAACGCAGCGTAAGCCCTTTAAACCCCAGCCACCGCAAAGGCAATACCACCCTCGCCCCCGGCACGAACCATACCGCCGTCGAGGCAGGGATAACAGGCGGAGACGTAACAATACGCCTAACCAGGGCCAGAGTCACGGCCAGGGCAAGCCGCAGCCAGGGAATAAACCAGGCTTTTGAAGCTACGCCCAAGGACAGCGTACCGCATTCTATACCGGATC